TCAAGGTTCCCCTGAAAATTGTAAACACTGTGTTTTTTTTTTTTGTTTTTTTATTAAAACAATGTTCTGTTTGAGCAACACAGTGCAAAATAGCAACACAGTGGCTCAACCAATGGCAGGACTTAAGGGCGGGGCTTTCTGTTTGCTTAACCAATGTCAGGGTGTTGAGAAAGCTGTCTGAAAACACACATTTTGCACCTCCATTTGGTGACCTTAGTGGTACAGGAATCACAAACTTCACCTTTAACAAACAAGAAATAGTTTAAAAAAAACATAATTAAACCAAAGCATAACTAAAAGTAGACGCACTACGGAGCCCCTAAAGGGACATGACGGTGATGGAAAAAATATGAGATGGGAGGAAAAATATGTAAATGTTTTCGCTCACAAAACCTTTGGCATTCAACTTTTGTGTTTCTCGGGGGAAGATTTTTTTGGGGGGGAGTGATGGCAAAGTTTTGCGGAGGTACGCAAAACATATGTGAGAGAACACAAAAGCATTTATAAATTATTTTTCCTCATATTTTCATCTCATATTTTTTACTTCACCATGTCCCTTAAGGGGCTCCTTAACTTACAGTAGTACAGGGTACAGCTGTTAAATGTTAAAAATGTCGGTTGGTAAGAGGAGCCTTTCAGTGGTTTGGAATATTATTTGGAGTTTAATTTAGAAAGAAATAAAGCATCTTTTTAAATACGAGTGAGCGGAGCTGGAAGCCAGTTGCAATATTTTTAGGTTGGAACTCATATGTTGCTTTGTCTGGCTGGTGTCATCCTGCCTGCCAGTTTCATATATCATCCTATTTACTGCTCTGTGTCTATGCATCTGAACAAGAGAGAGCAGATGGACTTGTAGAGATGATTGATAAACACTTCCCTTAACGGAAAATTGGTACAATGTGATATTCTGAATAAACAAACACACAGCATGACGAATCCGAACTGGTTGTTTGGTGATTATATTAGTATTTGATATTCCTGCTCGTTACTCGACACATGTGCTTTAAACATATGCTCATCTGTTTTTTTGAGCGTAATGTTTTAGCGCACCTGATGGCTGTCTCTCTATGATGGTATGCTGTTGTTGAGGAAAACATGAGTGGGATTTCATATTGAGAAATCTGGATTTCATAATATTGGATTTCAAAATCCAATACCAGCATTTACGTGGATTCTATGTGGATCATCTTTAATGTCTCAATATGTTTGTGGATCTGTGCGTTTCATATTACATATTATTAACATAAAAATATTTGTTGCTTTTTTATTTGGAAGTTACATAAAAGCTCTGCTAGACAATATAGAATAAACACTTTTAAATGTCACCTTTATTGAAAAATTGTATTAAAAATATAAACTAAAATATAAATAATAGACTGTATATACATTTAAATTGAATCTCTATATCCTTAATATCTATAATAATCGAATATATATATATATATATATATATATATATATATTACATTAAAACAAATCTTACATAATATAGTAGAATGTAATATATATAATATATTATATATAATATATATCAAATATAAATGTAATACACACATATAAAATATAAAGTAAAAAATAAATGCACATTGTCTCTATTTTTGAAAGAAAAACTCAATCTGCTCTTCTTGTTTGGGATGGGGTGCAGTGTGAGATTTCTGCCACTGGCAGCAGTGTTGAGTTTGTAGCAATTTGTCATTAATTTATATGTTATCTCTAAAGGGAGAGAAAAAAAGTGCTGATGCTGTTTTTGCTGCCCGCCCTGCAAATTACTGACGGTAAGTTGAACAGCATTTCAATGCCCTGGAGCGATCCTGGGAAATTACTCCACTTCTGATTCAAAACAGGTTCTGAAACCAATATAATGACAATTAACTAAGAAGAACACTACTGCATTTTGGAGTAAATGATTGGCAAGGTGTATAACTTGTCAGTTGTATTTAAATGTAGCTTGGAAGATCTGGAACTGAAGTACAATTTGTGTTGCATTGTTCTGAAAACAAATATGAGAATTAATGGAGTGCTGAAGAGCACATAGTCATGCAAAAAATCCATTGACAGGCAAAACAGCACATTGAGTCTCGCGGTGCGAGAGGGAGCGAGAGAAAGAGAGCGAGGGAGAGAATTCAATTTTTCCACATGCTTTCAAACTGCAAATGTTCCTTGCAGCTCTGAGAGAAAGATTAGGCTATCAATCTGCTCTACTCATACTGTCAGCAAGCACAAGAAATCTATGCTGCAAAGCAGACACTAAAACACACAATCTGTGAGGCGAATTATTCTTAACATTGTCATCATCTTTTATTACTGGTGGAGCAATCAGGAAGGAGAACAGTGTTTTAAACTGCTTATGGAGATAGTGAAATGACTATCTGTGATGGTAAACGGACAAGAAAAGCAGAAAAATAACAAATAGTGCACATGCAGGCAGCATCACTCAAAATCGTGTTTGGGTTTAACAGGAACTGGGTGAAACATTTTATATTCAATCCATATCACCAAAAACAAACTCTGCATTAAGTATGTTGTCTGTTATTGCCCCTGTCCATGTTCATTAACCTGATTGGGATCTCTGTTTGTACAGAGGCATTCTGCACCTCTCATGTCAGTGTGTGTCACAGAGCAGTGAGATGATTGATGGCATGCTTGAATGCACTTGCTATTACCGCTCACTGTCTCAAATAAAGGAGTTTAATCACAGGCTGACATGACGTTTACAGCACCGCCCTCCTCCAATCACAAGGACGGTCACATACTATCACACTGCTGCAATCAAATCTGCAGAGTAAAAATGACTTAAATGCTGGCTGACGACCAATATCTAGCCAATCTACAAGATTTAAGCTGTTGGCAGCATTTAAAATAGCTTTAATTGCTAAAATTAGAAAATATTATATTACATAATGTGTGACAGAGCTTTGGATAACAAAGGTATTTTCATTAAACTTTGACTAATGTCAGTGTGAATTTTTTTGTTAAATAAATGTATAAGATTACATAAGATATTTTAATTAATTAATCATTAAGATATCCTATGAACATTATTTCATGGATATTATTATGATACTTATGATAATATATATATATATATATATATATATATATATATATATATATGAAAATTGATTCATGTAAAACAATTTGAATGTACAAGAACTACTGATATGCTTAAGATAAGATAACATGACAACACTAATATCCTATAGTAATATAGTTTATATAACACACACACACACACACACACACACACACACACACACACATATATATATATATATATATATATAACATTAACTATGTTCAGAATTATGTTATATATCTGTAAAATGATTTAGATCGAAAATATTGCAAGTTATGAATTTATTACCCTCTTATAAAACTATAAAATACATGATTTAGACTATTAGTAATTTTACAAGTTTTCATTAAAATAATGACTAAATATTATCATATATTATCAAATACAAATGTCATTAAACATAAACACTGACTCATATGAACATATTGAATGTAAACGTGAGACACTATTATGTTAATCACTATATACAATAATTAATTAATAATGAAAGTTATGATGTTACATGGTAGTCAATGTATTTCATCATTTTTTTATATATATATATATATTTTTACATAGCCATACAGTATACTTTCATCCAAATACTTGGCACCAAAACATCCCCCATAAAACAAAACAATGTCTTATGATTCAAATTTACTAAATCACATTTAAGTCTGTTCAGTTCATTTGGGTTAAGCTGTTTGCTATATGAAGCATGAATGTGATCACATTCATAATCACCAGCTGCCCCTCGTGACTGGAGATAAAACATTGCATAAGACATAAAAATAGCTGACGTAAATGTTACATCCTGTAATTTAGGCCATATGCTACAACTTTTAAGGGCACAGACATACATTACGAAATAACTATAAAAGCAAAACCTTATAGCGTCGATATATGAAAGCGTGAAATATGCAGCACGCGTAGCCTATAGCCAATAAATGTTTATTAATATTTTCGGGTTGTTCTTTAAATAGAGAGATCTAGTTTAGGCAATATTCGTCCTCATTGTATGAAAGCTCGATGGCAATATCAAATTGTTCATACTAAATAGCATTTCGATTAAAACATCAACAACAACAACAAAAGCGTGACAATGAGTCTGGTCGCTTTGAAATACGTTTGATTTCTCTTATCAAACAAACGCATTTCTCACCATGACATTTATTCGGCTATTGCACACAAGAGGGGCGCAATATTACTTTTCTATCACTGCTAAGCACCATGTTCAAATCACAGCGGCCATAATGGCAACAATTCAAAGGACGTTATTACAATGTTTCCATTAGTCGCGTTTACACGCGCTTGATACATTTCAACAGCGTTTGCGGTCATAAACGGCGCTTCTCGATTATTAGAATTCCGATTACATCTTGCCACATCTGGACTCATTCACACGCGTTAATGTTGCCGTTTTAGCGTAATGATTATATTAAATGTACAGTTAATGCATTCGAGAAATAAAATGAAGAATCTCTGCAGGAAATGTTTCGGTATACTCATACAAACCTTCTCTACACAGGTCCTGACAGATACGTACGACTCTCACCGCGCATATTATCAAATACAGTCGTTCGTTTCGTATCTGAAAAATCACTTTATTTATAACTCATGCTTATTCTTGGAGAAGTTTTGAAATTAGTAGCCGGTTTTGTCGAAAGTGGAGTTTAGAATTTGTAAAACGACTTCGAGAGTCTGAGAGACCGCACATACACTTGCCTCCATTCGCATTCACGAATTTAATATGAACACGCGGTGTCACAAAATGTACCAAAATGAGCGTAAGTGAAATAATATAGGTTGGAAAAATATTAGACATCAATTGCGGACATTTTATGTGAGTTATTTTTGCAGTGTGTCGGTTTCATATTGAAGGTCGACGCGCTGGTGCGCGCTTTGATATTTTGCTCTTCCAGGACCTTCGGTGATCCATTCAAGCCAACAAGTTTGGAGAGAATGTTTGAGTTTAATCAATTCAGAGCGACGAGATGGAGCCCAACTCACTCCTGGTAATATCATCCACTCCGCTTTCATTTCAGCGTCTAATGAATTTATTGCGCGCACGCATCTAATCATATGCTATGATAAGGAATCAATGGAAGAAACTTTACGACAAAAGTTAATATTTTATTATTCATATTTATATAGAATGTGATTTATCATGTGATCAGCTGGAGCGCTTTGCTCGCCTCTGATCCCGTGTTATATAAAATGTTGCTGAATATAAACATGCCATGTCTATTTGTGTTTCCGCAGTGGGTAGGCTCACCTTGTGGTTTGCACGGACCTTACATTTTCTACAAGGCGTTTAGATTTCACCTTGAAGGCAAAGCGAGAATTTTGTCCCTGGGTGATTTTTTCCTGGTCAGATGTAAAGCAGGGGACCCCATCTGCATAGCAGAACTACAGCTCTTATGGGAGGAAAGGACAACCAAGCAACTTCTATCCAGCTCCAAACTTTATTTTCTCCCAGAAGATACTCCCCAGGGCAGAAATGTCACTCACGGAGAGGTAATTTATGGCACATTTATTGAGCTTTTGCTGCTTTCTATGAAGGGCTCCGTCCCTCCGCGATGTGTTTATTGTGGTAGTGATGAAATACGAGCCGTGTGTGGTTTTGCATCGCATCTATTCCGCTGTCTGATCACAAGACATCTAATGCATCGCGTTTAATAATAGACACGCAGTCATAGTGTGGATCCTTGTGTTAATTTCGCCTCGGCTCATTTGCATACGAGCGTTTAGCGCATGCATTTTAAACAGCGTGTGATGATGAGAATGATGCCATTGTGTGAAGTTGTCACATCAGTGTTTGCTTGTTTCATCTGATACAGGGCTACAATAGTGCGGAAACTGAGAATGGCAAAGACGACTGAAGCGCCTCGTTGTGGCGTTGCGATCTGCTGATTGTTGATAAAATAGTGTTGCTTCTGATGAGACGCGTAGATCAAGGCAAATAAATAATAAATAAATAAATACATCGATGTAAAGTGTACTGTTGCTGATCGTCGCCAACGATATGTGGGTTGGTTATGCTGTATAATATATCAGGCAGATGTTTTAAACGTGCGATGTGAACTAATATCAATAATAACGCACGCTGATCAAGCCTTAAAGCGAGCGAGTGACATTTATGAAGGTTATTATGTCAAAGTGCTGCAGCCTCATTTCACATTACATATTAGCTGAGATGTGTTTGCCCGAGGAAGAAAAAAAAAACATTTCTGGTGATTTAACCCTTTGATGTGCTGAAACATTGTTCTTTCACAATACTGTGTTTGTTTATGCTGCTGTGCATTTGCTTAAGTCAGGTTTAAATGCTAGTAACAAGAACTAATTCATGTTATTGGGTTGTGGAGTTGCTTGTAATTACTTTGTAATAGATTATATTAAAGTATATTATTTCGTGTGCACATTTTTCGTAATTATAACATGTGATAGCCTATATATGTAGGGTACACTGGGGAAAAGTGTGTACAACTGCATTTGTGTAGCCGTTTCTACCTGATCTGATCATTAAATATGAGTTTTGTTTGTGCAAGATAATGTAGTCAGACTGAGTCAATCATTAATATTAGAGATTATTAACTGATAACAATTGTTTTTATGTGTGGCTAATCCTCCGCTTGAGATTATTTTTTAATTCAGAGATATTTAAATAAATATTATATACAACAATATAAGTTCATTGAAATGGAAAAATTGAGTTAATACATTGATTTAATCACCAGGAACTCAAAATATTATGTTATCTGAACTACATAAATTATTTAAGTTGATTTGACAAAAGAAATTTTGTCGTGATTACAAATCATGAAAATATTTTTTTACAGTGAAAAAAATATATTTTGATTATTTTTTATTATTTACAAAAAATATTATTAAAGATTTTCACATTACATACCGAGAACCTTTTGATGCGCAAGAAAATATTTCTATATTAATAACTATGTATTTAGCTGATGAAGTTGATAGACTGCACTCACACACACACATACACACAGAGAGATGGATACAGCTAATTACCATTTAATTTAAGACAACTGATAACATTACCTATATCTGATAACCGTTTAACCAGATAACCGAAGTAGCAGATTGTAAATATTGTTGAAAAATATCAGTCAAACCAATGATTATTTTTCTTATATATCATTTATTACTTTTATTATATAGCCGATATTTTTTTGGCTACACATTTTTGTTAAAAGCGGTGTTTTCTGAGAGTGCAAACACTGTAATGTAAAGCTTTCCCACCCATTCTGATTTACCGATTGTGTTGCAATTGCTATTTTAACAAAGCAGCACAGCTGCGTTCTTGCATGGGTAATAATGTAACAATGTCTGTACCTGTTTTATCTTGCACTGCTCATTTAATCACCGATCCTGAATACAAAAAGAGATTCTGCTGTGTGTGAACCTCTACCGTTCTACTGTCCTTCCCCCGTGGAGTGGAGGATCAAATAGCCTTTTCAAAATAATCAACAGGTTCTGTGTGAAGCCCTGTCCAAATGTCAAGGTTGCTTTGCTGAATTATTATCAGTATTAGGTGGAAACGTATACTGTTGCCGAGATCAACCTTGAAAACATGGTGTTTACACAATGTAATGAGGTGTTATTGAGGAAAAGCATTAGTCTTAATGCACTGTTTGTTCAGTTGATCAGAGTTCTGTCTTCTTTCCAACTTGCCACCGGCCTCCCTCCCTTCCCCCACTCAGCAGCAATGCCAATTATTTGCTTTTCAAATTTATTACGCATTCATGACTGCTGATCTTGAAACGGCCTGGGAGCCAAGGACAATGCTCCACTCTTAGGTACATATTACAGTTTTGAGACTATGGTGCACTCTATTAGCTTTTAGTCAATTTTTGGGAACAATTTTAGAAGTGATAGCATATGCTTACTGTTAACACGCATTTTTAGAAGAAAATGTTCCATTCTTTATAAAGTGCTTCAAGCTTTTAAGGGTTTCAATCATGGGATCATTTTATGGATTTTTAGTTTGAATTAATAATTAATAATTTGAATTAAAAGCAGGGTGTGCAATTTCAGAGACTAGCAATAGCAAGCTAGCTTTAAAAAGTAAATATCCCACCCTCCCTCCAGATTTTATGAATTAAACAGCTCGTAAACATAATTCACCAGCGGAAAAAAAAATAAATAACCTGTTAAACACGAAAGTATTATGCAATCATTTAAAGGTGCATTATGTAATATTTAGGAGGATCTGTTGACAGAAAAGCAATATCAAATACTTAACTATGTTTTCATTGGTGTACAAAGACATTACATAATGAACTGTTATGTTTTAATTTGAATGAGCCATTTACATATCGCTCGGGTCCCCTTACATTGAAATGCGGCAACATGTTTCTACAGTAGCCCTAAACGGACAAACGCATTTCGTCACTTTGTTCTTCGTGCAAAGAAGCTAGCTAAAGTCAGCGATTTAAACAGACACAATGGTGAACAAGTAACAATAATATTCGCAACAACATATTGTTTTACTGAATAATCAAGTAAACCTAATTTCTAAATTTATCTAGGAAACCCCCAACGCATTCTCATTTTTTAGCGTCATATAGGACGCTATATGACAAAACGTCCCAATACTACGCACATGGCACCCGTTATCGTTAATATAACACGCGCTGTGATGGTTGGGTTTAGGTGTGGGGTTGGGTCTGCGTCTCATATTCACGCTAAAGGATTTATGACGTCTTGGGTTCGCGTGTTATATTAACGATAAAGGGTGCCATGTGCGTAGTATTGGGCCGTTTTGTCATATAGCGTTCTAAATGGGACGGGCTGAAACCCCAATGCTTAACTGGCTACTTTCCGCTGTCTCAGACGATGACATCTTTTCCTGTCGGCCACCGTAACTTCTGTTTGTTGCAATTCACGACCTCACCACTAGATGCCGCTAAAACTGACATAGTGCGCTTTTAAGACATTTCTCCTTATTTTGAACCTTTTTTTGATTAAAACATTCATAAAGCATCAATAACCCTAGGGTTCTGTATTGAAACCCATTGAGCCTTTTTTCTAAGAGCGTACTGAGTCATAATCAGACAATATTAACAGATGTATGTCAGTTCCTAAATATACCCTCAGCTTTTTTCAGTTTTCAGTTTTATTATAGCTAGAGTTAATGTTGTGTAAAAGTGTTCATTGAAATTCTGCAATGTTGTGCGTATCTTATTTGTTGTAATATTGAGTATGGAGTGTACTTATGTCCTAACAAATATTGTGTGAAAAACTGAAGAATGTTCGCCACTCTTTTTGCGCATTCCCAGTGTAGTTGCTAAATGAGACATGGTGAATTTAAATAACAATGTGATTAAGTGTCAGCCAGAGCACCTGCAGTAATGTGAGCTTCACAACTCGGCAGCCTCAGATGCACTCAGCAGATTGTCCAATTAAATTACATTTGCATTTGCAGCGAATAACCCTAGTGACCGCTGATAAAGTTAATCAGCTATCATAGAAACTGCCATGCATTTGCAGAGGCTGCATTATGCTGTTAATAGTATAATAACAGACGTGTTTCCTATTTACGAGAAGAGAGTCAGTGGATGGGGTCATGACCCAGAAATGGGCCACAGATTGGTTCTTATAGGGTCACAAAGAGCATGCAGAAAAACTGTACTAAATGCAAATAATAGTGCAACTTTGAATTGAATTGTGGATAAGTAGGGTAGAACAACTTTTCAAATGTCAGAGGAAATGCAGTATTTTTATGCAAATTTAAAATACTAGCCAAATTAGATAGATGCTGAGGTTGCATATATACACAGTATATAAATTTAACAATGTATAATTAAATTCATAAATGTAATAATATCAAACTAACCAATTGTAACACACATTTTATATATAATCAATATATTGATTATATATTTTATTATTATTATTATTAAATTGTATATGTATATATATATATATATATATATATATATATAGACCATTTCACAAGACGTAAACAACACTGGTCCAGAAGCACTTCAGTTTGTAACTGTTTTCTTTATTTCACATGTAAAGAAAACATCTTAAAGATGTTTGTTTAACTTTTTGATTGAGTTTTAAATGTTCTGTTGGTGCTATTTTATCCCAGCTTTTATGTAGTGTTAACAAAACTGAAACAGGAAGTGCTTCTGGACCAGTGTTGTTTACATCTTGTGAAATGGTCTATATATATAATTTAATAATAATAATAAAATATATAATCTCTCTCTCTCTCTCTCTCTCTCTCTCTCTCTCTCTCTCTCTCTCTATATATATATATATATATATATATATATTTGAAAATATGTTAAATTATATTACTTTATGAAATTGAGTAATTATAAATTGTTTTATATATAGGCTTATATAAAATATATATATATATATAAACAAATGTATTTTCATTTTATATTATTATTATTATTATTATTAATATTATATTGCATACCTGAAAGAAAAACTACATTGGTGTGTGCTGTCACTTTTGTTAATTTATTTTTTTAATT